GAGTGATAGACAGACACATAGACAGACACAATGATAGATGATGAGAGAAGCCCCCCACACTCCGGAGTTAAACCTGAGTTACATGGATTGTGGGCAGGTGCAGCTGCTTCTTGGTGGGTTTGGCGGCACGTACAAAAAGCAGTTGAAGCAAGTCTCGAAGGTCCAGGATCTCGTCTCGAAGAACCACGGCCTAGAAGAGGTTGACAAGCTCTGGAGCTCGATCGTCGAGTTGTTCGAGGCAAAGTTCACCTCCCCCAACGAGCAGATGGAGAATTACCTGCAAAAGATCATCCAGGCCAGCTGGATGGTTGGATTCGATACTGCTGCTCACTACTTCGGCTTCTTGCCGAATGGGCTAGCAAGCATGAGACTCCTTTGCTCAGGTGAGATGCTGTGGCTGCTTTTCGACATGAGGCAGCTTTCAGCTGCCATGAAGGTCATCCTGGAGAAGGATGACCATGGAGGAATCGAAGGTGTAACCGAGTTTGTGAAGAACTTGGACGAGAAGGGCGTCGCAATGTTGGCAAAGCACGGTTGCACAGTTCACATGATCCAGCAAGGGCCAGGGCAAGTTCTTTTCATCCCCACAGGTTGGTTTGCCGTGGAACGATGTGTCAAGGGCTTGCTAGTGTATGGGATTCGAAAGACTTTCATTTATCCTAGCCAAAAAGCTTCCAGCAACTACGAGATCCTCCAGGGCGTGCACGTGGAGTCGAAGAAGCCAGTGGACAAAATGAGGGCGACGGCTGCTTTCATCGCCCCTCCGGATGATGATTGATTGCACGCGTTGTAGGGCTCTTGAACACATGAGCGGATCTCCGAAACTCTCGCGAAGCACAGAAGTCGCAAAAGATCAGCGAGCCTCGAGCGTGTTGGCGTGTTGTAGAAACCCCTACAAAGCCACAAAGCCTTTGACAAGCCTTAAGCTTACAGACCACGCAAAGACCCAAGACCACTAACATCCTAAGAGTGTAGAATTCCTCGCCTATGCCCCGAAATGTATTGTGCATGAAACCTGGCGTTAGGGGTTTAGGAGTTTAGGGTTT